GGCTCTTTCGTGATTGAGAATTGTGTGATTAAAGATCGACAATGCAAGTGGTGCGTTATTTTTGCATGCCACTGTATTTAACAACGCTAGGATTAGGGATCGATTAAAGATTTCATAACTTTCATGGATTTTCGGATAACATATTGTATTGTGTAAACAAGAATTCCGGATTGATATATGCTTATTGACTCATTGCAAATTGCAGATATACTACAATTTGGGAAAAGATCTGCAGCACATCTCCAATGAAACAGATTGATTTGACTAAAGGCTTCGAATAATAATGGCAGGAAACCGTGGTGCCCTTTTTAATGTATTTGGAAAACCAAAGTCAAACACGGGTGATAATATTACTTTAGAAGAAAGCTTAGAATTAACCACCGTTCCTCCAAACGGACCTATTGATGCAAAATCTTTGGTAAGCGAGCTCCAAAACCCTTATCCACTTCCAACTCGAGTCAAGCTTGTCAAACAATTATGTGATATTGTGACAAAATATACATTATCTAACGTGACGGAGGTTTGGGTCCCTGTACGGGATCTATTAAGTCCGAATATGCCGCAGGACGCGCGCCATGTTGCGTTTCAGTTCATGATATCATGTATTCAAGGACAATATAATGAACTGGGGCTTTTACGTGCGATTTTCTATGATTCAATCAAGGCTCACGAAGTTGCAGAGGATTTTTCTATTAAGTTTGAAACACTTCGTGAGCTTTGTAAAGATGGCCGAGATATTTCTTCATTTGAGAAAAATATCGGGAAACTCTTGTCAGAATGGATAAATCAGACTATTAAACGAATGGAGGAAGATATGGAGTCGTTGACAACATCTCCGTCGCCGCCTTCTGAATATCATAACATTAATATGACTACAATTGAACATTCAAAGCTGCAGTCTATTATTAATTTGTTGATTAATGTAGTAAAATTCAATTTTACACAATTTGAAGAACACGATATCAAAATTTTTATCAACGATATTGCAACAGTTTGCAAACATCGATTCGCTGATCTAACAGACATTCAGTGCTGTCAAAGTTTTTGTGATGTAGTGGTTCGATATGGATACGTGCCAATATCTTCCTTAAACATATACGTCAACATGTTATGCACCACCATAAACCATGCATCTTTCTTACAACAAAGCTGGCATATCATGCATAATTTGCTGCGAAGTCATTGTGCATTCAGCAGTATCAAAATCCTATGTAACAATTTGGAGTACGCTGATAATATGGAATCTCCTCAGTTACTATGCGGTTCTGTACTGTTTCTTGGACGGGCGCTTTGGGGACCGGAGGAAGTTGATAATCTCACATATACATTTACGACAACGCTTACAGCAATGCGCAAGGCAACCACGTATAAAATCAGTGAGGTGAATCGGGAAATCTTGGTCCAGATTGGGGATTTGGTGTCAAAGAACGAGAAAAAGATTAGCTTTTTGGAATGGGAGGTCATTTTGGATATTTTGGAGAATACACAATATCTTGTGTTGGATTCGGTAAATGGAGAAAAACTTATATTGGAGGATATTAAAAGTATTGAAAATAACGATGAAGAAGAAAATAATCAAAAGCATACAGTAATGTCCGCATATAGTCGACTAATATTTCTGATACAGTCATTGCACATGTCTAATTCCTTTGAAGGACCTACCTCCCGATTTATGTCACTTATCCAAAATCTTTGTGGCTACGTATCTGAAAACACCTTATTAATGCTATTAGATTACTACGATATAGAACATCTTCTTTATCCTTCTTCGTCCGATTGGATTGTGACGTTATCAGAGGTCGTGAACTCCTTTTTCAATAATGCAAAATCATCCCCAAAGGTGCGACAACGTGTTCTCTCTTTAGTTGTGGATGTTTATCAAGCAGCCAAAGATTTTTTTCAGGATGAAATTGTAAATCAAATTATTATACCGATGTTCTCGAATTTTCAAGAAGAACAAAACTTAATTGTTTGGCAAAGTCTCATGATATTTCTGATTGAAGTGTTAAAGGAAGTGTCAGATCAATGGACTATGTCTCTTCTTCAGATATTGATTCAATGCGTTCTTTCATGTGAGTGTCATTCACAAATCGATCTAAGAAATTCACATTTGAATTCATGTAAATCATTGTCAGCAACAATTGGACTACTTGAGATTTTTCAGCATTCACTCTACGAGATGGATTATTCATCACAAAAAATAAATGTTTACACGCAACTAATGAGTATCCTTGCAGATTTTACCGCTCCTTCAACATCTCGTCTTGTAATTCTACAATTGATGTTGCGAATGCGTGTTGATTATAATCATCGCGTGTATTTTGTGCACGATTTAGGAACTGCAAGTGGTGCCCATATATTGCATCGGGATTCTAATGATGAGGACAAAATATCCGCGTTGCAATCTGACAAAAATCAAATGAACAATAGTGGCGGCAGCTCATCCAATGATGGAAAACTCGAAAGAAAAAAAAGCTGGAAACCTCGTATAGAGAAAAAGTCAAGCATTAAGGATTTAGCATCAGCAATTTTGGATCGTGATCGTAAAAATACTACAACTCAGGACATTCAAGACTCTCAATCTACCCCCACTGAGCGTAAAGAGAATAATAAAACACACGCTAGAAATAAAAGCGGTGATGAAGGATCAATACCTCCCATTCAGCAACGTCTTTGGCATATTCCCGATAGCATTCCTTTTAAATTGACTGCTACTCGCCCTTCTCCATATGTTGTTACTTACCGATCAGCCTTAACTCCGGCCGAGCAAGTTGGAATGGAAATAATGCCCCACGATAATGAAGCAACATCCACCGTGAATTCCGATAATCAGAAATATTGCATTGTATTGTCAATCTCAATGTATTTGGACGTTCTAATTGACATTCTTGCAAATGATCGGGACTGGGAAATATTCTCGTATGTTCTCTGTTATCTGCCTTTACAATTAAGCGAAAAACATGTTTTCTGTGGTGCGACAAATCAAATTCTGGCATTGAAGCAAACTTTATGTGACAGAATCTTGAATAATCGTCTGGCCGAAGGAATTTTCCTTCCGCCGGAAATCAAAAAAGTGGATATATATATTATAGCCTATCAGACATTAACGGTATTAATTAGCTATCGAAGTATATTTCAAAAGGCACAAAGAGATGAACTTGTTTTGGCGTTTCATGTTGGTCTTCAGAAATGGCCACATGCCGCCAAATTTTGCCTACATGCTTTGAATGTTTGTTGTTATGAGTTGCCGATGTCAATGACGAAATTGCTTTCAGATATACTTGCTAAATTGTCGCAAATTATCACAACAGCGACAATGAGTGTACATATTTTGGAATTTCTTTGTACTCTTGCGCGACTTCCTGATTTATACATCAACTTTACTGAAGCGGATTTTAAACGCGTGTTTGGTATTGCAATGCAATATATACAATATAGCAAAGCGCTATCCGCTTCTTCAATGTCTCCATCAACAACACCTCAATCTTCTACACCAACCTCGTCTACTAGTTCTAATAGTTCATCTGCAGGCAATAATAGTTCACAGCAGAGTACAAATGCATTGATACAATATGAACGTATTATGGCTTATCATGTAATTTATTCTTGGTTCGTATCTATCAAACTACCCGAACGACGTAAATATGTACCTTACATTGTAAGGAATCTTTTGCTCGGAAATGAGGCCTCACAGCAGGTCGATGAACAAACCGAAACATGTTTTGACATGCTTGCTCGGTGTTCGTATGCCAATTGTGATCCAAAACCCAGCGATTCATTTATTAGTCAATTATTGTTGGAACAGGGTAAAGACAAAGTTGTATTACGTACCTGGATACAAGGAAATGCACTTGTTACGATTCGTACATTGAAGTCATTGGGTTGGGCTGAGACTATCATACGTCGTCCTTCGGCTACGATGAAATTTTTGTGTAAACTTGAGAATCGAAATAGGATTGATGACAAAGATTTTGTTAGCTTACCTGCTATGCTGATGGCTCATTATGATCCGGATGCGCAAGATATTATTAATACCCCTACATTCTCTGAACAATTAACACAAAATCAAATGGAATCAAAAAAAACAGACAATGAACCAGGAAAAAATAATGAAGATCAATCTTTTGAGGAAACAACTACTGTTGAAGGATTTTCTCTTCCTCAAGATATTTTAGAGACTCATTTGGCAGCTTCCATCCAAGACAATAAATCCTCATTTCCAAAGAACGATATTACTATATCAGAAATTCCAAGTGATCATAACAATGCTAATGCTTGTAATGGATCGCAAGAGAAGTCCACTACTAATGAACCGACAATTTCGAATAAAAGACGTATCTTGGATGAAATATTTGTCGATCCTACTAATTCATCCGAAAAACTTGCATATCGAAAAGATGATCCTTATGTTGACCCAAGCTTTTTGTTTTTGCAGTTTTCACCATATCCTGACATAATATCCAAGGTTGGACCTCGACCATTACCAGATGACGAAGCCACACGTCGCGCACTAGACATTTTCGATCGTACTGCCGTTGTTGATTTCCACAAAATTGGAATAGTATATATAGCTAAAGGTCAGACCAAAGAATCAGAAATATTGGCCAATATTCATGGATCACCCGAATACATCAAATTCTTAAATAACTTGGGAGATTTGGTTAGACTCAAAGATAACAAGGATGTCTATACAGGTGGTTTAGATACTCAGATGGATTTGGACGGAGAATATTCGTACTACTGGAAAGACGATATAGTTCAAGTGATATTTCATTGTACAACTCTAATGCCAACAAATTTATCCATCGATCCACAATGCAATGGCAAAAAAAGACACATTGGAAATGATTTTGTGCGAATTATTTATAATGATTCTGGGAAAGAGTACGCGTTTGACACTATTCCTGGGCAATTCAATTTCATTAATATTGTGATCTCGCCACTTTCCTATGACTCTTTTCTTCGACAAAAGTCATCACCAGCATTTACGAACGACGTTGGTGGCGGGTTAAACAATTTGGAAATCAACACCTTTTTCAAAGTACAGATGCAATGTCTTGCTGATATGCCTGAAACCAGCTCAATCACCGAATTCAAAATGGTATCGCTGACCGCATTACCAGCATTCGTTCGAAATATCGCATTACATGCGAATATATTCGCGCAAGTGTTTTTGCAAAGTGGCGGTAAACGCGGGTCGGTGGAATATGTTTCTAATTGGCGGGAACGGCTACGACAGATCAAAAGAATAAAAGAGCGTATTTTGAACAATAGTGTTAGTCATATGTCTTCTAATACTTTCCCTTCTATTACACAGACATCTGTTTCATCAGCATTAGGTTCTAGTAATACTTCTGTTGGCTTCACAAATATTTCATCAACTTCAAATTTTGCTGGTTCTGCAGAAGAACATCAATTCCAGACGCATAGCACTAGCGTGCTTGGACTAGAACCTGTTATAGATT